GCCTGGGATCCGAACCTGTGAGCCCCAGGCCACCGAAGCAGAGCATGTGAACTTAACTGCTATGCCACCAGGCCAGCCCTATAGTCAACTGATTTTTAACACATGTGCAAAGACAATTAGAAGGAGAAAGCACCATGTCAACAAACAGTGCTGGAAAAATTGGACATCCGTATGCAAAAGAAGGAATAATATTCCTGATACATATCCTTAGATAGGGTGCTAACCTTACAGAAAAAATAACTAAAAAATTAATCATAGATCTAAATATAAAACTATAAAATTTCTAGAAGAAAACAGATGAGAAAAATCTGTATGCTTTAGGTTTGGAGATGATTTTTTAGATATGACATCAAAAGCATCATCTATAAAGGAAAAATTAGATAATTGACTTTATAAAAATTAAAAACTTATGCTCTGCAAAAAAGACTGTTAAGAAAAAATGAAAAAAACAATATTTTCAAATCACATATCTGAAAAATAACTTGTAACTCAACAATAAAAATATAAACTAGCAAAAAGTGAGCAATAAAATCTGAACAGATCTTCACCAAAAAAAGGTATACAGGTGGCAAATAAGCACGTGAAAAGATTAAAATAAAATATTATTTGCCTGCAATAATATTACCATGATGTTCTAATGGTAATTTCTATTTCCTCATTCCTTCTATATGTATTAATTGCAAAGCTTTAAGTAATATTTATCCTTTCTCCTCATTTTTATTCACATCATATGGGCTCAAAGTTACTTATTTTATTCTTTCATTTATAATTCAATACTATCATTTTTTTTAATGAGGTAAAATTCACATGACATAAAATTTACCTTTTAACCATTTTAAAGTATAAAGCCTTAACTATACATTGGGTAGGCAGCCATGAGGTAAGATTTGAGATTAGGAAAACCTTGTTGCAAGAATTAATTCCCAGTGCCACAGTGTCTTTAAAAACTACCATTAAGGATACATTATTTTCAGTTTATTTTTTATGACGATCTAGAATGTAAATAATCCAATTTAGTGCCTTTTAGTACATTCACAGTGTTGCGTAATCATCACCACTATCTAATTCTAGAATATTTTCATCACCCTAGAAAGAAATCTTATACTCATTAAGTAGTCACTTCCTATTCCCCCTCCCCCCCAGCCTCTGGTAATGACTAAACTGCTTTCTGTCACCATGGATTTGCCTATTCTGGACATTTCATATAAATGGAATCATGTGGTATGTGACCTTTGGTGTCTAGCTTCTTTCACTTGGCATAATATTGTCCAGGTTCAACCATGTTGTAGCATATACCAGGATTTCATTATTTTTCATGGCTGAATAACATTCCATTGTATGGATATACCACATTTTGTTTATCCATTCATCAGTTGATGGACATTTGGGTTGTTTCCACTTCTTCAGGATAGTTTTGCCCTATATAGAATTCTTGGTTGACAGGGTTTTTTTGTTGTTGTTTCAGCACTTTAAATACGTCATCCAATTGCCTTCTGGCCTCCATGGTTTCTGATGAAAAATTGGCTGTTAATCTTATTGAAAATCCCTTGTGTATGTTGAGTCACTTGTCTCTCACTGCTTTCAGAATTCTCTTTTTGCCTTTGATTTTCAACT